ATTACTGAAAGAACTATAAAACTAGAATGACGGTAATATAATGATAAAATATAAACTTAAGCAAATTATAACAAACACAAATTATAACAATAGATACTTTGCCTGAACTGAAATCCATACCAAGACTTAATCGACAGGGTGAGTTAAACAACCCATTAAAATTAACATTTGAACTGTCCTAGTTAACAGTAATAATCGTTTAAAATAACCGTAAACTTTACAAGTACAATTGTAAGTACTTGAGGTACTGTAATGACAGGACTTGACCGTATACCTCTGTCGTTGAAATTTTACTCCACGAATATTGAATTTCAGACTCAAGTACTGGCGATTAAACCGTGCATTGTTATTTTGTTAAAGAAAATTGAATATTAAACTGACGAAGTTATATTTTATTTAATCTATTCACTAAAAAATAAAAGTTGTGCTGTTGTGCCCCACAGCACTGAACTGCAGAGAAGTATTTTTTTATTTATTTTAATAGGAATGTAATAATCATACTGATTAAAATCTGTGAATATATCATCTATCTCTGGTAGGTAGAATGCTATCGGTTATTTTTTATGGGATAAGCTGGTAAACCACTACATGGAGCACCTGATGGTATGTTATCTAGTACTTGGGTCTCCGGTAACCTCACTCAACATAACGCAAGCGTTGTTTCACATCGGTTTTCTGTAAGGCCGTGGTATCACCCCGATCAAGCTGGCCCATTAGTGCCGAGGCATGGCTTTCCACATACACACAACATACTTATTTATAAAAAAAACTGGAACATTATCGTCTCCCACCTTCAGGTATTATGATAATCTCTTTGCATTGTTTGCAGAGAACAATAGTTAAGTTAATAGCTAAAACTGTAGCCCAAGTAACAAAAAGCAGAGCATAAAAGAGTGTTATTAAGGTTGCAGTACTTTCTACCAGGTATTATTTAAATTCTCACGTAACCGTAAAATGTAATGAATAAAAAACCATAAATCCAAAAAACATGGCAATAACTTCTCCCAGCGGCTTTACCCACATTCCCATGGGATAAAAGTGACTTATATGTTATTCTAGACCATTATCTCGAAGGGCCAAATTCCGGTGCCGCGCCAGTTAAGTGCGTGGCGCGAAGAGCTCCGGCGCGATCTCATGGCGGAATGGCAGCAACGACTGTTGCAACCGAGGGCTGGGTTCGCTACCATTGCAGCGGTAAGTCCCCTCTTTGAGGAGTGGCTTGAGAGGAGCTACCTCACCTACTGCCTGACACAGGTCCTCACCGGACATGGAAGTTTCGGGAGGTACCTGTGTCTGATGGGGCGGGAGGAAACGCCCGGGTGTCATCACTGCGAGGACCGCCCTGAAGACACGGTAGAACACACTGTAGCGGAATGCCCTGCATGGGCTGAGCACCGCCATGCCCTCAGGGACGTGATCGGCGATGGCGACCTCTCGTGTCCAGCCCTAGTGCGGGTCATGATGCGGAGCGAGGGGGACTGGGATACCGTCTCCTCGAAGCAGTCATGCTAGCTAAGGAGGAGGCGCGACGTGTGAGGCAGCGAAGCGCTGCCTTCTCGCAACCCAGCCATCGCGAAGCCCAATTAGAGCTGATGTCGATTTGGAGTCGCGGAGAACCCAACGGGTTACCGGGGCTCTGGCCCGAAGTATAGAAGAAGGAACGGGGTGGTTTTTAGTCAGTAAGAGTCTGACATTCCCTTCCGCCTCATCCAGGCGGGAGAAGTCATTCAATGATTTTCCCCCCTAAAAAAAAAGACCATAATCAACCTCAATTCCAAATTTTATATCGGTCCTTTCAGCCGTTTTGATGTGACTGAGTAACAAACAAACAAACATAATATATCTTTCGAAATTACAATATTATTAGAACTTACATACAATCAATAACTAACTGACTTGTTATTTTTTGGCTAAATATTAAGTACACAATTCGAATACAAAGGTAATTCCAATCTCAAAAACAACAACTCCAATAAAACGCAACTTCACCCCACACCTAGAATTACGTGTAAATTGAAACTAAACGTCAAACAAGAAGTAGTCAAACTGTAGTATCGGCTTTACAATTGCTAGTTTCGAACGGAAATCAAATCGGCGTCACGAAGCGTACCCAATAGCTTAACAAAAGACCCCGGTGTCGGCAAAAGGCCCCCGTGTCGGCAAATGTACCGTCAATCCTACATGACCGGGGAGAGATCAACGGCTTCACACCGAAGGAAAATAATCCTACTAACTTGGCTGAGCTATTTAAACTAGAAATAAAAACCTGATAGCCTTTTCATCTGATCCCGCAGTTAAAGGTGCAGGGTTTATGTTAGTAAAGAAATTGAAGCAAAGAATTCTAATTGTAATGTACTGTTTGAATGTTTAGTAATAGACTCAGGTAAGTGAATTCCTGATCAGAAAAATACGTAAACCTGAAAATGTGTGTGTGTGTGTCTGTGATTTCAAGTTAACACACCATTAATTTTTATATTTAGAAGGTGATTAAATGAAGAATCATAAATTTCTCCTGTTATGATTAATCCAGATATGTACTGTACAGGAGTTAAAATACGAATCTTTGAAAATTGAAAAATTGAAATTTTGAATTGAAAACAAAAGACCAATCATAATAATTATAATATAATATCCAGTTAGCCGTCTTACATTTTAGTTTTAAGAACAACACTTTAATTACTAACATAATTACTTCTGGCTTTAAATGAACAACGCTTTCAAAACCAGACATAAAAAACACCCACAAAGACTAGAGCATCTTCCTCAATGAATTCAAAGGCAGAAACACTTTGTAAACCCTAAATCAATTAAAGTCCATTTTACATTGTATTACAAAGAGAAAAGAATACAATTGTTTTGTAAATTGAGAAGGAAATAGTACAAATCGTATTGACCAAAGGCACGTAATGAAATGTTAGATGAACTAATATGATAGAATTTGACAAAATCTTTTTTATTTACTAATTTTCATAAGATAGATCCTTTCAGTCAGTATTAGTTAGCTGTGCTTCTAGTTGCAGTAATATCCTGTAAATCGAACAGTACTGAAGCATACCACCTAGTATCCATTAACCAGAAAATGTAACATCCAAGTTAATATTGATACGGAGTAAAGCCGCTTCTCATCTGGATTCTGACTGTGAAACTATTGCGGTCCAGCGCAGCGCTTCTAGCGTCGCGATCAAATCGGAACAACTCCAACAATATCCATAAAGTGTTCGCTTGAACAAGACGTGTATCGGGTTTGTTTGAAATCGAAACTTGTGAATAGTTCTGTTTGGCGGCTTATGTCGTTTTGTTTTCGTGAGATAAATTGACGGTCGCTTCATACCCTCACCACATTTTACTGTGGCACAATGCTGGAAAATCCTTTTGATCAATTGACTTCAATGTAAGGGTTTCTTTTTGAGTGATGTCTGTAAGTTGAGCGGTTGTGTCTATTCATAGATGTAGGTACATACTTCATGTGATGTTGAAAGTTCAAACAAATGTTTTTCGAATGTTTTCTATTTGTTGTTGAGGGCAGAATACCAGTAGTTATAGTAAAATGTATTACGTTCGTACAGATTAAACATCTCGCAAATCGAAAATAGTTTTAAAATCAATGAACCATGAGAAACGTAATTAAAATTTGTATGATTACACTGCCCCGTTGGCCGAGTGGTTGCAAACGCGGCTACGGTTTAATTCCAGTGTCAGTTTAAGTATAAAAGGGATTAAAAAAAAAATCTTAGTAGTAGCACGGAGTCTGGAATTGTGCCCGGTATATGGTAATACGTTCACTCGCTATTACATGGGACTCATAACATAGTTAGTGAAAAGTGGGTGTTACATTGTAGAGTGACATAAAGTGTCATAACATGCACCTCTGCCTATCCCTTCGGGGATAAAAGGCGTGATGTTGTGTTATGTTATGTATTTCATGAGCAATACAAGTGTACTGCTCAATACGTAGAAATTATCACTAAAATTCTCTCTCTACTGCTAATGGCTTAATATTAGAAAACCAACGTTATTCAGTAATTTCATTAATGTACGGTTACGTGCCTATTTTAAACACATCTGCAAATGTTAACATATTATTATTTATTATTGATTTTCTTTTATAAATAGTTCAGTACCTGAATAAGAAATTATATATCTGAATTTTAATACTCACTAAAATTATAATAGGTACATGAATTTTTTGTGTAATTACGTCGTCAGCACTACAAAAGCACTTTACGTTTATTTTAAAGCATTTCGATGACGTCTTTGTAAGTTTAATTTTACACAAAGCTTTAGTAGGCACGTGGTATGTTTTAGGAAGAATATTTCAATAATTTATTAGGTTGAAGTCATATGATAAGAAGAAAGCCTCTCATAATTTAATGGCTTTCCCAGCTGGAATTCGTATTTTAACAGGCAATTAATACCTACTTCTGAAAAGAAAATTCAATAATACATTTTCCATTCATTACCTACTATAATTAATTGAAGGTGACCCCACGCGCTGAGGTCGAAAATCTTGCTCTACCAATGCCATTGAACTCGGATAAAAAACCTATCCCCCACCTACTTTTCTATTTTGGAATCTTAACGATCCTACCCTAGCATGTTTAGTATCGAACAAAGTGCAATCACCGATGACTGATTTAAAGCACGCCTTAATCCCATAGTGGCATTATCACAGTTCCCAACACCCACAGTCTCGTTAATCGTGTACTACGGAAAGGGTGGCGTCCGAGCCTATTTCCATTTATCGGGCATGTTCTAGGGGATTGGAATTATTGGCAACTGAATACATAGACTATCGAACAGAGTCTCTCGATACGTTAGCTGTTTAAAGAGATAAGAAGCTTATAAACTTAAATACATCTGTATTAATTATCCTCATGACGTGAAAAATCGTTTAGTATTCCATAATCATTATACCGACGGCAACAAAACAGTCTTGTAGGAGTGAACTACAACTAAATTGCGTACAATCTACAAACCATAATAATATAAATTATACGTACTTTTCATCTTCTGGCAGCTCGATGTACAGCGGCAGCAGCGAGATGTTACGCAGATGGAGCGGGTTGTCGCCGGCCAGGTACGTGTGAGAGATGTCGGCGAGCGAGCGGTTGAACACTCGTACGACGTCGGCGGCCGAGGGCGGCGCGGCGATGCCCACGTAAAACGCGGTGCGCGCATCCGCTTGTAGGACCCGTAGCTCGCGGCCCGCACTCGTCGCCGCGAGCACCGCGCACGCGCACCACGCATACCACGCCGCACACGCCGCCACCGCCCACCGGCGTCCGCGCATCGCGCACCCGCGCCCCGGCCTCACCGTCGCCCGCGCCCCGCCCGCCCCCCGCACCGCGCCGCCATACCCGACGCCCGACCAACACCATCCACGCTCAACGTGCCCTCCCACCACACAGACTCTCCCGCCCCAACATTTACTGCACTTTTATTTACAAGAGTCACTTCAGTTTCTTTAGATACACTTCAATAAAATGTTACTGTTTATCGCACAGAATTATGGACGGTAAATCATGATGAAATTCAATAATTCTCTGTTTTGCAATCCCTGGAACTCGGCTCATTTGCGTATCTGTAACAAAAGGAGGACATCTATTTGAGGGGATCTATTTGTATGGTAATGACTTTAACGGGAACATTGTAATTACAAATTAGACTTAATCAATATTAACATTTGGTATAGATAGCCGATATCGAGCAATATGAATGAACATGTTGGTTACATACTGGATGGAGAACAAGTTTATAAAATTGTAGCCAAAATATGCCTCAGCTCATATTCGACGCGTGATATGTATGTATTATGCATGTATATAGATCTCGGATAAGATCGGATCCCAAAATTTAACCAAATAAGTTTGGAGATAATACAGATAGCTATTTGGGTACCCACATCTGTGTTGAATGGTCGCGGTCACATCTTCGCCATAGCTGTGGCCCAAACATTACAATTTATGTTTGGGTTACAACTAGACTGAAGATTTGTGGATTCGCTATTATAGAGGTAGAGTTGTATAACTATGGAATAGGAAACTAGGACTGACTTATACCACATAGATAAAATTGGGTCAAAGTGATTTGCATCGTGATTCGTCTGGCACTGTTCGGTATTTGTAACAAAATTTGATTGTTATTCGATCATTCACATCACACACTGGAACTTGCAAGAATAATTCAGGAAATCAAACCTTTTCTAGACAAACAATAGATTCTTTGTAAAATGAGACAGCCCTAAAAAAACAAATCCCCTTGTGCCCCAATTGTATTTATTAATTCAAAGTTAACCTCGCCTTTTAACAAGAGGCAGTCAATAACAGATAACGGCACCCGTAACCATTAACAGGGGTCTTCGATTTAAGTAACTGCAGGGTTAATCTTGTTTACATCCAGTACACGTTAACTAATTTATGTTCAACGTTATCACAGTTTTTCGTCCGTTCGCCGTTGGGCTCAATTTAGTTCCCAGCTTTGGTAGCGAGCACTTGTCGTGACGTAACCTATTTATTCTCACGAAAAACCGTGTACAAGTTAACGCTGCTCATTTATTATTTTAGATATACTTAGTGGAGCTGAACCCAAGATCGTAATTTGATAGCCTGGCCTTATGAGTACCTACTGCAAGTACTTACTCATTAATATTAAAATGGACTTATTACGTAACATGTACTGAGAACCTATAAACATAATTGGTTTTATGTAGCCATAAACACCGTGCGATGACATATTTTGTGCGTTAGAGGCTGTAATCTTTTACATACACATACTATACTAAGAACGTTCTTCTGTGTTGCACAAATCACGCAAAGAATAGTTCACCGCGGGGATCGAACTCGATCGATAGCGTGTTGAATAATTATTATTATAGTTGTTGAACATATTTCACAGCTCACTAGCGTTAAACTTATAATTTATGAAAATCGTGGCAGCATTATACTTAAGCATTAGCCAAAAATATGTAGATACTATTCCCACGTTTCGCTACCAAAGTTTCACACTTAGCCTATTCTAGATTACAGAACAATTGAAATAGGAAATAATAATAAGTATGTGCTAGATCAATATTATGATTGAAATTAAGTTCGTACAACAATTTGATTACCTAAGCTAGACCAAAGTTTAATCCCTAGGATTAAATGTCAAGACTGGTAAGTGTTGATTTAGATTCAAAGCACACCCTCGTCAAGCGATGTCTTGGCAACGTTACTAATTGAAACTATGTACGAGAACGTTTTCAAGTATTTCCCACTTATCATCATTAGGATTATGTAACGAATAAGGACTTCGAATTCAGGGTGAAATGGTTGGAAAGATATTAATCGTCTATATAGTAAACTGTTACATAGTTAAATATTGTGCAAGTGTTTAGTTTTCCTTTTGAAAACGTTGCCTTGTGTTTGACGTCTACCTAACCATATTATTTCACACCTAGCAGGTCCGTTAGACCAGTACTAACTAGATAATCGATATTATAAAACTACAAGCTCAGAATTCAAAGAAAGTAGACATAAAACATTGTAATCGAAATAAGGGAATCCATCAATGTGAATTCCTAATTGTTTTCTTTGCGAACAATACTGATCCGTCAAGTGTCGACCTATCAAATTGACAATTCGGGGATGTTCGGGACAGACGAAACAGACAACGTACTACCGAAGATTTGAAACATAAATAAGTCACCCGTATTCTGACCTAGCTTGAAATATCTTGAACGTTTTCTTATTTTTGGGTATTATTTAAAATTTAAAAGTTAACAATATTTTAATTAAGGAGCTTCTATTTAGTCCTTCCCAAAAGAATTTACATAAAGCAGTCGTCATCAAGATTGATACAAAGTAGTCAAGTAAATTCAGTATACGTAAAAAGCAAAAGCAACCAGAAGTATGCAACAGCTTCAATGCAAAAGGAGTAGGTACTACATATTTACAAGCAACAATGAGGTACATCAGTTTAATTAAACGTTCCCGCAAAAATAGCGGCACGCTTCGACATGGCAAAGATTTGTTTAGAGAAATCCTCCCACTCTGTGAGATCGAGAGCATTTCTTACTTCAATATTTGAATTGAATGAACAAATTCTAATTTCTCTCCTATATTTTCTTCATTCGCAGAAGCTTTTTATTCATTAATCGAATTCTCCTTTGAGGTAAGTACGGAGGTATGTAGTACAGCCATAGAATTTGTACGTGGTTTCTGTTAAGGAGAATGAACTCCGTAGGACGTCGTATTAATTAATAGCTAATTACTCGCGGTCATATAATGAGACTGCGTTGGTTTTGGACTGCCAGACTTAGTTTTAATGTTAAGTGATAGTTCTCAAGTTGCGATTAGTTCATACAACTAATGTAATTCAGAACACAAAGTTAGTTAGCAAGTCTTTATCTGGGGATAGGAAAGAGTTTACAGTTTGCTAAGTAACCTCATATTGCGTGGTCTCAGTAAATAGACTGTGTCGCCATTCCCGCGGGTATCTTAAAAGACAACTTTGGAACAAGAGGATGGAAGAACATTTTACCTGCATACTGACGGAGTTTTTAATAGAAGATCCGGATATTGAACGTGAGGTATAAGAGGCTTGATTATAACAGCTTTGAAAAGGAGTGAGATAGGGGCTTTGCAGTCGCCTATCGACTTGCTCAGCGCATTGATTAATCAAAGGCTTTCAATTTTAGATGATTTATTGTCTGAAATGCAGCTCAATCTATTTAAAAGAAAGAGGGAAAACTTTTTACCTGATGTACTGAATACTACGTTTTAACAGGATACAATTTCTATAGGTGCAATAGATCTAAACTTAATGAACATTATCACGACTTTGCTCCCAACGTGAAAATAGCTACCTACATGGTGAAAATCGTACATTTCTCATAACCAGGGCTGCTCCAGGGCGACCCGGCCCATTGTAAATTGCATTGTTTACTGTGCACGAGCAAAATACTTTACGGAATTTGTTACACAGACACTCGTATAGGATAAAATATTATTCATACTCGACGCGCTTCATAACTCCAACTTCCCTGCGTCAACGTCATGGAAGTAACAGATTGAAAAATTGAATACTTGATCCTTGTCTGAACGAGAACAGTGGATTTTTCTTTTACAACCCGGTCAGTCAGTGTCTGTTATTTATCGATCTCGTAGTCGCCATCCCTGTTCGTATGCCCATCACAATCCCAATATGTCGGTCTTTGAATATTCATCGACAAAACCGTGTTGACACTTTTCGAATAAAAAATGTATTTGGTTTTTTTTTATTCTTTATGATTGTTTAGAAACAATTTTATAGTCAGCTTTGAAGTTTCGCTAAAAGAAACCGCGCTTACCAATTTCGCTAGATCATTGGAACAAGTTAGCATTTACTTTAATTAAACACCAAACTTCAGTTTCAAACCAATTAAAGGTTTTCTTAATACTATTCTCGAAATGAAACGGAAATATCTTGATAAAGAGTTTTAAGCTTACGTAACAAAGTTCATTTTAAATTAACAACATAAGTATTTGAGATAAGATAATAGAATGAAGAATGGTTTTATTAATTCGTTATTACACGGCTTTTGATTTCTCAGTGGCGACTGTATGACGAGTCTTTGTAGCTTTAACTGGCGGCACTTTCATGTTGAAATAAGCCTCGAGGTTTCGTCGAGCGCCCAGCTCCCGGCAGGCTATAATTGAACGTGTAGAAGTGAACCGCTTAATTCGAGTAAAATTAAGCTAAGGAAACTGTGACAGCGTTATCTTTATCCAAATTGATATAATATTTCGTTCTTCTATGTATATTTTTTTCATTACAAATTCCCCATTACGACGATACTAAAGAATCGCTCCAGAAAATCCACAAAGATCGCTTTGCTGAGAAAACACATTTTCACACTCGATATATTTTTACTCGGCCAACGTTTTATAAGTTCACACCGAGAGATTTCCCAGTCTGTCTTACCTTGCACTTACAGAAGGATTTAGTTCCAGTTTTTACGCAGCATTGAGTTTGTCTGTGTAATTTACGGCAGGTTCAGATAAAAGTTCTATGACAGTGTAACACACGTGTACGTGCCCCGAACTAAGTGTGATATGAACATAACTCCCACTTTGTGAACTTAAAGCAAATTATAGACGTGCTCCTCGCCATTACATGAGTGAAATTTTACTTTAAACTGCGTTAATTTGCTCACTAGCGGAGACATGTTTGAGCTTATGATTTGCATATTAGTACCTACATACTAAAGCTACTTTGAATATAAACCTTTTTATATTACTGTTTTAATGAACGTTTATGTATGCAACGCTT